TCGTGCATTGCATTTGCTGCATGGACGCGAATAATAGTAATCGTTTGCAAAGAAGCGGAATAGTCGTGTCATTTGGGATGGCCATAAGATGCCTAAGTACCTCACATCCCCGATATAGCATGCCATGTCCACCCCGAACTTGCGCATGTTTTGCTCCCATTATAGCGCATGCCCGCTGCCCGCTCCCTCTTCGGGGAACATCTGCGGCCGCTGCCGCCGCGGCCAGCTGATTGCCGCAACGCGTTGCTCTGCCGGCGAGCAGTGGGGCGAGGGGGCGTGGCCGCCGGGCCGCGCGGCCCAGTCCACCACCAGGGCGCGGGAAGGAAAGGAACGGAAAGGCGAGGTCCTCTCAAACGCGCCCGGCGGCCTCCTCTGCCAGCTCGCGGTCCGCGGGTATAGACACCAGGTAGACACCAGAGCGCCCTCTGGCGCAACGAGGCCGACCCCATTGCTGCCGTGCGTCCGATCCGATGCCTGTGATTACCGCTGCGCTTACGCGCCTGCACTTGCACTACCCCTGAAAGCACCACCGTCGTTCTCGTCTTTCCCGCGCAGTCTCACGAGACGTACGAATGAATGAGGAGAGTATAGGAGCATCCGATTGACAAGTTCTGGGGTGGCACCGTGAGTGTGAGTCACGACGTGTTCGCCCGCAGGGTGCGGCATGACACACACGCCGTGTGTGTGTGTGTCACAAATGTTATGTTTGTGTGTTTTGGCGATCTCATCGGCTGGGTATTGCGAAGGGATAGTATATTACCACGTGGGGATAGTTGACCGTTTTTCGCTCGCTCCGCAGCGAACGTGTTGAGTGTTGATTAATCAACAAGTACTTATTTGTTCGAATTAACACTCGTATAAGGACACCATCTTGCACCATCGTTACTAAATTTTACTGTTTGTCGCACTAAAATCAGAGTCATAAAATACTCTTAAGTAGTAACGAACGAGTGGAAAAAGACCGCAGCATGCTGCAGCCGCATGAGCTCAATCCTCAGACGGCTAACTAACTAGTGTTTCTGTCTTTCTTTTTCGCGTTCTTTGAGCACATTGCAGACACCGGGAGGCCTAATGAGCAGGGCATAGCGTGCGGGGCCACACGGCACTCTACTTGACTTGGCCCAGAATGGCAGCCATTTGACACACCCAGCCGGAATGTTTGCCATTTCGTTGGTGTCTGGCGCTGTGCTGCCAGCCGCCCCATGCCACCCCATGCACGGCGTACGACGTGTGCAGGCTACTCTACACACTACCGACGTGTTCACGGTACCAAGGTGGCTGTTTTTTGCCCGCTCGTCTCCTTTTGCAGTTTATACTACCTCATGGAAATGCATGGAGTGGGTTTGCCCAGTCTATCGTCTCTGAGACTGGTGAAGCAGCCCCCTGCCAATGACTAGACTACCCACCCACCCACATGCGTGCCGCACAGTGATACGATGGAAGTGGGCAGGGTCAATCAGTCACCTGCGATGAGTCCCACAAGCAAACGTTGATCTACGAAGTGTGTGATTGATTGTCACGTTTTGACAGTTTCGGCGCACCTGCTCGTTCCGCGCGGAGTACAAAGCCCGGCCGGGGTCTCCACGTCGCGTCGCGACTCTGCGTTCCGCTCATCACCCCAAAAAATGTGTTCTCAATTCAAGATGATACCCAAAATTTTAAGGCCAATAGGGATTAATTTAATCCCCGTTTACTTAGTTGAAATGTAAATAGGGGTTAAAATAAGAACATTTGCCTTAAAATTTTGGGTATCATCTTGAATTGAGAACACATTTTTTGGGGTGATGCAAGCAGCTCTCATAGCGCCTGATGGGTAGGCAACATCGTGCTTTCAGCGCTTGCGTGTACTGCGGGGTGGCCTACCCTCGGTCTCGCAGGCGCCCAGCTCCCGTCATTTGCTGGATGAATCTGACCTGACGTGAAACGGACACGTGCTTGCTTGACGATCCCCTTCCCTTCGCGCAGGCCGCCGAAACCGGCAAGAAAGAGAAAGACGAAATATTACGCGACGGGTCACCTGCCGCTGCATTTTCGTCCTGTACCGCTCCCGGCGGCGGGTCGGGGCCGGGCCCGGCAGGAGGAAAGTGGTTCGCCGGGACTTATTATTGGGCATCCACGCCCTCGATGTCGTTCGTTATTATTAATGGCTAATACGGGAAGGGAAATACATCACACCAGACAAAAACACCCCGCTGCCCCCTCCCGTCCCAAACTTTCGTAATCGGTGCACCAAAGAAATGCACGCAAATGCACCTGTGCCCTGTTCCACACGCACTTTTCGTTGTTATGCGTTATGCTGCTTCGGCAAGCCGATTTGTACGTGCAGGCTGTAGGCAACCTGCTGCCGCCTGCTTGTGCCTGTGGACATCATGGTA